AAACCTGAATAGACCAACAACTGAGGAAATACAAGTAGTAATCAAAAAACTCCCAGCAAACAAAAGCCCGGGTCTGGAGAGCTTCACAGAGGAGTTTTACCAAATATTCAAAAAGGGCTAACACATATCCTCCTCAAACTATTCCAAATTATTCCAAGAGGAAGGAACACTTCCAACTTCTTTTTAAGAGGTCAGCATTATCCTAATTCCAAAACCAGATAAAGACACTACAAAGAAAGAGAATTACAGGCAATATCCCTGATGAACATAGATGCTAAAATCCTCAACCAAATATTAGCAAATCGGATCCAGCAATATATTAAAAAGATTATATACCATGATCAAATGGGATTCATTCCAGGGATACAAGGCTGATATAATATTTGCAAATCAATAAATATGATACTTTCACATAAACAAATTAAAAGACAAAAATCACATGATCCCATCAATAGACAGAAAAAGCATTCAACAAAATCCAACACCTAGTTTTTATAAAAACCCTCAGCAAAGTGGGAATAGAGGGATCATATCTCAACATGATAAAGGCCATGTATGACAAACCTACAGTGAACATTATATTCAATGGGCAAAAACTAACACCATTTCCCCTAGCTGACTGGCATAGCTCAATGGTTAAGCATAAACAATGAATGGGTTACCAAAGAGATCAAGAAATAAATAAAAAAACTTCCTGGAAACAAATGAAAATGAACACACAACAACCCAAAATCTCTGGGACAGAACAAATGGGACTGCATCAAAATAAAAAGCTTCTGCACAGCAAAAGAAACCATCAACAAAATGAAAAGGGAATCCACTGCATGAGAGAACATATTTGGCAATGATACATCTTATAAAGGGTTAATATCCAAAATATATAAGGAACTCATACAACTTAACAATCGGAAGACAAACAATCCAAGTTAAAACTGGGCAAAGGGCCTAAATAGACAATTCTCCAAAGTGGACATATAGATAGCCAAGAGATATAAGAAAAAATGCTCAAACTCAGTGATCATCAGAGAGATGCAAATTAAAATAACCATGAGGTATTATCTCACACCTGTCAGAATAGCTACCATCAACAAATCAACTAATGACAAGTGCTGGCAAGGATGTGGAGAAAAGGGAACCCTAGTACACTGCTGGTGGGAATGCAGACTGGTGCAGCCATTATGGAAAACAGTATGGAGTTTCCTTAAAAAATTAAAAATGGAACTGCCACTTGACCCAGTGATCCCACTTCTAGGAATATAACCTAAGAAACCCAAAACACCAATCAGAAAGAATGTATGCACCCCTATATTTGTAGCAGCACAACTTAAAACAGCTAAGATCTGGAAACAGCCCAGTAGATGAGTGGATAAAAAAAGCTGTGGTACATTACCCTGGAATACTATGCAGCAGTAAAAAAAGAAGGATCTCTTACCCTTTGCGGCAGCGTGGAGGGACCTGGAGAGTATTATGCTAAGTGAAATAAGCCAGTCAGAGAAAGACAAGTATGATATTATCTCACTTATATGTGGAATCTAATGAACAAAATAATCTGATAAACAAAATACATCCAGGGATATAGAAGCATAGAATAGACTGCAGAATCTCAGAGGGAAGGTGGGAAGAGATCAACCAATGAACTAATATATATAGATGCATAACCGATGGACACAGACAATAGGGTGGTGAAGACCTGGGGTGGGGGTAGGGGTAAGCTAGAGGGGGTCAATGGAGAAAAATGGGGACATATATAATACTTTCAACAACAAAGATTTGTTTTTTGTTTTTTAACGTGCTGGCAGAGGTCATTGTTCCTCTGCAGAGACCTCCTCCCCACATAGAACTGGCATATAGGTCAATGGGAGGGATTGGCAACTGTCAGGTGCCATATCTGAGTTTCCATCAACCTGGCCCACACTGTTCACCCCTCCCTGATGATTACATGAGAGCCTTCCCCACCCAATTTGCACCTCTACCCATGCTCTTTGCAGTGGTTTTTCCATATGAATGGCCTGTCCTGGCTCAGGCTTCAGACTTTCCTAAGATCTCTCAAACAATAGCAAGTAGACTCAGTGTGTCCCATACCTCTCTATAAGTGACCCATGCCCATCACTAGCAGCAGTTTGCCAAGTTTCACAGCTTGGCCTCTACTTGGCACCCCCAAGCCCAATAGAAGTAGCAGCCACCTGCAAATCACTCTTTGCTCCTGCTGAGTGGCCCCAAGCAGGGCACAGGCAGTGGCTGACTTTGCACCTCCCAGGAGCCCCCAGAGCCAGTGCACCTAGCAGACAGCTTCAGACCATACCAGATTACAATTCTACACATTCACAAGCTACACATATAAGGGTGGATTTGGTGAGCACCAAAGCCCCAATGAAGCAAGCTGCTCCATAGGGATGTCTCCTGCACAGCATCTCTTCCACTGTAGTCGCAGCTGGTCTTCCCAGCCAATTGCCTGGAGGTCAATTCCTCCCAGTGATGCCAACAGCAATCTAAGCTCAACTACAACAGGACAGTGCACTCAGTCCACACAGGGGTGCACCTAGAGGGCCCAGCTCAGGTGACTGGGGTGGCTGAGCCACTGGGCCCTACAGGATACCTGCTATACAAGGCTACTCTACCAATTCCAGGAGATATAGCAACTCTACCTAATACACAGAAAGAAACACAGGGAAGTAGCCAAAATTCAGGGACAAAGAAATACGTCACAAATGAAGGAACAGAAGAAATCTCCAGAAAAATAACTAAATGAAATGGAAGCAAGCAAACTACTACATACAGAGTTCAAAACTATAGTTATAAGGATGTTCAAGGAACTTAGTGAGAACATCAAAGACATGAATAAAGACCAGTCAGAAATGAAGGATACAATAACTAAAATGAAGAATAATTTACAGGGAATCAACAGTAGAGTAGGGGACACCAAAAATCATTTCAGCAATTTGGAATATGAGGAGGCAAACACACACACACACACACACACACACACACACACACACACACACACAATCAAAACAGCAAAAAGAAAAAAGAACCCCAAAATATGAAGACACTGTAAGCAGCCTCTGGGACAACTTCAATAGTTCCAACATTCACATCATGGGGGTGCCAGAAGGATACGAGAGGGAGCAAGAAATTGAAAACCTATTTGAAGAAATAATGATAGAAAACTTCCCATGCCTGGTGAAAGATATAGATTTAGAAGTCCAGAAAGCACAGAAAGTCCCAAATAAGATGAACCCAAAGAGATCCACACCAAGACAACATCATAATTAAAATGCCAAAAGTTAAAGACAAAGAGAGAATCTTAAAAGCAGCAAGAGAAAAGCAGTTAATAACCTACAAGGGAGCACCCATAGGACTGTCAGCTGATTTCTCAACAGAAAATTTGCAGGCCAGAGGGAGTGACAAGAACTGTTCAGTGATGAAAAGCAAGGACCTACAACCAAGTTTACGCTACCCAGCAAAGTTATCATTTATAATTGAATGTCAAATAAAGAGCTTCCCAGACAAGAAAAAGCTAAGGGAGTTCATCACCACCAAATCAATATTACATGAAATGTTGAAGGGTCTTTTTTAAGAAGAAAAAGAAGAAGAGGCCTAGCTGGTTTCGCTTAGTGGTTAGAGTGCCAGCCCATGGACTGAAGGGTCACAGTTTCAATTCTGGTCAAGGGCACATACCTTGGTTGCAGGCTTGATTCCCGGCCCTGTTGGGGCACTTGCGGGAGGCAACCAGTCTCTTTCACATTGATGTTTCTTTCTCTATCTCTCCCCCTCCCTTCCACTCTCTCTAAAAAAAATCAATGGTGAGTATTAACAAACGAAATATTTTTAAAGAAGAAAAACTATATTAAAAAATATGAACAATAAAATGGCAATAAATACATACCTATCAACAATTGAATCTAAAAATCAAAATAAACAAACAAGGAATCTAATGAATAAAATAAACTGATGAATAAAATAGAACCATGGAAATATGGAACAGTCTGACCAATCTCAGGGGGAAGGAAGGAGGGGACCAAGAAGAGATTACCAAAAAACTTATATGCATATATGCATTACCCATGGACACAGACAATGGGGTGGTGAAGCCCTGGGTTGGGGCAGAATCTGGGTTGAGGGGGGCATTAGGGGAGAGAAGAGGGAGGACATCTGTAATACTCTCAACAATAAAGGTTTTGTTTTTTTTAAGAAAATGGGCAATACTATCATTAAAGATTTATTTTTGTCTTTTTATTAAAATTAAGGCTAAGAGATAGATCAGGTCATCCTGGCTTGGTCCTTACTCTGTAGGGTTATCTTCAGCCCATTTTCTGAAGTTCATTTTAAGGGCAATACAGAATTTCCACCCAGTACGATGTTTATTCACTGATCAATTTTCCAGATAAAGTAAATGTATACAGTGAACTGTAATCAAAGGGAATTTTCTCATTTAAAACAAATTTGCAGTTAAATTTTATTTTTTTATTTTTAGCTGTAGTAAATTATATCCATCATCTTATTCTGTGAATATAGGATAGGGCAAAAGTAGCTTCACAGTTATAAGTACAGAAAACAGTTTATTCTTGTATTATTATTTATCAATTATTCTATTATTTTCCATATGAGCAACTGTAAACCTGCTTTTGCTACACCCTGTATATACATTTCCTTCCCTGTAAGTCTGTTCCCTTCAATTGCTTTCACTTATTCTTCAATTTAATTCAGAATAATTATTTAAATATACTTTTTAAGTTTTAAAACTTTATTTTGAATATTTCTACAAAAGACCCATTTTCCTTAATAGTTGTGTGTGTGTGTGTGTGTGTGTGATATACCTCTGAGGTTACTGACATTGCAGAACAGCCTTTGAAGTACAAAGGCCATTTAGGTTTTTAATTGATACCTTTTTTAATCTCTTCTTATCAAAACCACAGTACTCTGAAAAAACTAACAAAAATTATACTATGCACCAAAAGTCATGGGCTGCAAGTGAGTAAGTTCCAAAGAGATAGCCTTGCCTTGTCATCTCTCCCTCTTGCTCTACAATCCTTATCCCTACTTGTAGAGGGCTTCTCACTCTTCGATATAGGATGTGCTCGACCTACAGGTCCCCGGGCTCCTGCTCCTGGCATTTCTTTCCTCAGAGGTTTTACTTCTCGATTTGGACGCCTTATCTGAGGCGGAGCTCTGACAAAAAAAAATAAAATAAAATAAAAATTAATCAAAGGCAAAAGTATTTCAGTACTACCTTAGTCAATAAACCTATTAAATTAAGAAGGCCAAAATCTCCAATTTTCTCCTGTTTGTCAATTCATGGCCACGTCAATTAGGTTAGTTTCTAAAAATGTTTTTCTTTAAAATACACTGGTTGATACAATTATTAAATACATATAAATAAAATATATAGCAGCAATTATTTTGTCAAAAGTAACTATCAATCACCAACAGATGGCAATACAGACTATTCCCATCTAATAATCTTAATAGTGTAATGGAAAATCCATTACTTTATTCATTACTGTCCTAAACCAAGAATAAGTAACTTCAAAAAAACACACAACACAATAAAAGCTGAAAGGACAAGAATTCAAAATGTGCCTATTTGCAGTTTACTAATTTATTATTTTTTTTAAATATACTTTTATTGATTTCAGAGAGAAAAGGAGAGAGTGAGACAGAAACATCAATGATGTGAGAGAATCAATGATTGGCTGCTATCTGCATGACCCCCACATCGAGCCCACAACCTGGGCATGTGCCCTGACTGGGAATCAAACCATGACCTCCTGGTTCATAAGTCAATGCTCAACCACTGAGATATGCTGGCTGGGCTACTAATTTATTTTTTACAACAAAATGATTTTCTCTGATTCTGTATTGGAAAATCCAACACTTCATTCATAAATTACGAATGGCAAGACTCAACAATCAAATCTCATAAACAAAGTAATTTATATTTTTAAAGTATTATTCACACTTTTGGAGGGTCAAAAATCACAGGATCCTTCAGATTATACAGGTCCCCAAATGTGAATCAAGAATTTTGATAAATATGAATGTGATGGATGTTAATGAAACTTACTGTGATCATTTTGCAATATAAATACTGAATCATTATGTTGTATACCTGAAGCCAATATAAGTTAATGTCAACTATACTTCATTTTTTAAGAAAAGAATTTTGATAGCTATATAAATGTAACAATGCAGACAAAGTGGTATATTTTGTTTCACGTAATATGAAACAAATTTGTGAAACATGTCTTCTTTAGATAGAAAAATGTTGACATTACTCAGTACAGTATTTACTACTCTCTCTGGGCGTTGTGGGGACTCTATTATTATGTGTATAATCTCTTCTTCTTTGTATTGTCTCTGCCTCTATTTCTCTACCTTTTCTATCTACAGTTCTGCCTGGACTGGTGTAGCCCTTCAGATGTGTATTCCTTTTTCACCAATATACTATATCTATTATTGTTCCCTTTCCAACTTCATGCTTTTAATTCATCTAACTCATTGTGGAGCATCTCTTCCTGGATTCAGAAAAAGTGGCACTTGTATGTGTATATAACTCAATGAACCCAGCAAAACAGGAAAATGGATGAAAAGCCAGGAAAAGCCTGGAAGCAAACTCCAGGCAAGAAAAAAAAAGAGTAAAAAAAGGTAAAAGAAATGACAATATCTTACAGATCTACCTAACAGAGTATCTTCAACTTGTTGGAATCAGATGACTACATGAACCTGCTAAGGAGAGAGAGGCTGGTGGAAACTGTGTCTGTCTATGAGGTTCCCACATACTGACAGCTGAAGCCCTAGAGTTCAGTCAAATGATAGTATATTGAACACCCATGAGGAGGCAATTGGCCTCTGCTGTGCTAGACCCCTGGCAGAGACAAAGATGAATATACAATCGTGTGAAAGAAATCCATAGAGAAGGAACTGGAAAATGGTATACAATAAACTGGTTATAAGACATTTTCAAATTTAAGGTATTCTATATTATTGGTTCTAGTGCATTAGTCTTTTAAGCATCCTATATAATAAAAGGCTAATAAGCAAATTGTCCCCTTGACTGGGAGTTCGACCAGGAGTTCCATGGCCCCTCCTCCCAGCCATCCCCATCCAATTGCCCCAATTGGGGAGGGCCGGCCGGATCCCACCCGTGCACAAATTCATGCACCAGGCCTCTAGTTCTGCCAATAAAAGAAAAATGTGATGAGACTGGTAAAAAATAGAAAACTAAAAATGTTACATTGCTCTATTTTTTACTTATGTCTTTATTTAAACTCTCACCCAGGGATATATTTATTGATTTTAGTGAGAGAAGGGGAGAGGGAGAGAAGAAGGAGAGAGAGAGAGAGAGAGAGAGAGAGAGAGCGAGAGAGATGAGAAACACTGATTGGTTGCCTCCCAAATGCCCCCCAACTGGAGCTCAAACTTGCAACCTAGATATATGCTCTGACCAGGAATTGAACCCACAACCTTTTTGGTGTATGGGACAATGCTCTAACCAACTAAATCAACAGGCTGGGACCATTATTCTATTCTTAGTATTTCATTGTGACCACTGTTTCCTAACTGAAGTTTGTTTTAATGAGGGGCAGATTATCCTATATAATAAAAGGCTGATATGTATATTGTCCCCTTGGGAATTTGACCAACTGGGAGTTCGACCACTTGCTATGACATGCGCTGACCACAAGGGGGCGGCGCATAATGAAGGAAGGCCCCGGCTGGCAGCCGGCAGCTGGGGGAAGGAAGGCCCTGATAGGCCCTGATTGCCAGTCAGGTCTAGGGACCCTACCCGATCATGAATTTCATGCAGCGGGTCTCTAGTCTACACTAATAAAAGAGAAACATGGTAATTGGCGTACGACCGCTACCCTTCCCATTGGCTAATCAGCGTATCCTTATGCAAATTAACTGTCAGCCAAGATGGCGGCCGGCAGCCAGGCAGTTGGAAGCGAACGTGAGGCTTGCTTGCTCCAGTGACTGCGAATTCCAACGTTCCCCGCCTGACTTGCCGGGCTCTGAGCTGGCAGTTTGAAACATTCTAACAAATATAGCCGGCTGGGATCTCAGAGCTGAAGTTATACATTGTTTCGATTATAGAACGGCAAACAAACCAGCAGCGGAAGCCTCAGAGCTAGAGCCAGAGCTAAAGCTGGCCCAGAAGAAAAAAAGAAAAGAAAAAAAGGAGCGGTTGGGAGCTTCCCGCCAGCCTGAAAGCAGTCAAAACCGCCAGCCTGAAAGCAGCCCTCAGCCCCTCACCCAGACTGGCCAGGCACCCAGTGGGGACCCCCACCCTGATCCAGGACACCCTTCAGGGCAAACCAGCTGGCCCCCAGGCCTCTATCCTATATAGTAAAAGGGTAATATGCCTCCCAGCACCGGGATCAGCGGAGCCGCAAGCCTCCTGGCACCAGATACAGCATGACAGGGTGCAGCGCCCAAACCAACCCCCTGATTGGCCCTGCTCTGTGTGTGACAGGGGGCAGCCCCCCAACCTCCTGATTGGCCCTGCTCTGTGCATCACAGGGGGTGGCGCCGCAACCTCCCCATTGACCCTGCCTTGAGTGTGATAGGGGGCGGTGCCCCAACCCCCCAATCAGCCCTATCCTGAGCATGACTGAGGGTGGCATCGCAACCTCCCAATCCGCCCTGCTCTGTGCATGACAGGGGGCGGCGCCCCAACTCCCCAATCAGCCCTGCTCTGAGCCCCACCAGGGGCTGCACCTAGGGATTGGGCCTGCCCTCTGCCACCCAGGAGCAGGCCTAAGCCAGCAGGTCATTATCTCCTGAGGGGTCCCAGACTGCGAGAGGGCACAGGCCGGGCTGAGGGACCCCCCTTACCCCCCGAGTGCACAAATTTTTGTGCACCAGGCCTCTAGTTTATATATATTTGCAAATGTATAAATACCTTTCCAGAACCCAACTCATGGGTCTGGCCACAGACAATGAGGAAACCATCTCCTCCACACAGAACACATGGCAAATTTGCCCTGTCAGCAACTGGACCCCTGTTAAACAGTCTCATTGTTTACGGTCCTGCTCTTCAGACACACTGCCAGCCTGAAGCCTGGCCACATGGCTGCACTCTCCCTCAGGGGTGATGGCCACTCCCTCTCCAGACCATGTTCCCCCTTGGCGTGCTCTATTAGGGTACACCCACCACAGGCTCAGGGAGGCTGTGTTGTCAAAGTTATTTAAAAGCCAGTGCACAGGCTGCATGCCCAGGGTTTGCAGCTGCTGACCTGCCTGCCATTCAATACTCTCATGGGCTCATACACAGTCTGAGTGAAACTGCTCAAGAAGCCACATGTGCCATTTGTGGCCAGTCCCCTGTCTCACAGAAAGTGGGCCTGTGTCCAGTGTCTTCAGTTCCATTTCACTGCAGCTGGATGTTACATTTATAACAGACTCTGTCAGCTTCCCAAAGGACATCCTTGATTCTGTTCTGTACTTCCCCCTCCAGGAACACACCACTGCACAATGTCATGCTTCAAATTAAGGACTCAGTGACAGCTTCCAGGCTGTGTAACATATAAGTCTCAAAGCCTCTTTTACTGGTTTCTTTTTAAAGAGACTTTAGTATGGTTACAGAACATCATCTTTGCCTGAATGGCCAAAAAAAGACTGACACTGTACCAGCTTGCACTATTTCAAATATAGAGAATAAATCTGCAGAAAAAAGACTAGATTGTCTACACTGTGCTTAGTTCTCCTACTTGATGACATTTCCTTGTAGGAATAGGAAGACATAAGTCCTATTCTATCATAAGCCTGATTTCCTCCAAAATCCAATACTTCCTCTTTTTAAGCTGTACATTTAAATGTCAACATTATATGTAGATGTTCTTATTAGCACTGCTTGTAATGACAAGCACCTGGAAACAACCCAAATGTCCAGTATCAGAACAGAAACATAAATTACTACATGTTCACATAATGGGATGCAATATTCACACAAACATGGATTACAGCTACAGGCAATAACAAAGCATGAATCTCAGGACCATCACATTAAGTGCAAACGTAGGTTCAAAGAACACGCAGTGTAATTCCAAGTAAAACAGGACGCTGTTTGGGGATACAAATGTACGTATTAAAGTATAAAGAAAGGCAAGGGAATGATAAACCCCAAATTCATGGACGTGTCCAACTGTGAAATGGGAGGGAAGAAATAG